AATGAAATCGAACTGAAAAAAGACTACTCTACCTCACCAATACCTGAAAAATATTAAAGAAAAATATGATTATTAAGTCTGTGAAGGTTCTCAGTCATCCAGGTCATTGTAGTCAAAGGAGCTTGCAAAGAAAAGCGTCTGGACTTCTTTAAGTTGCTTGAAGACGTTTCACCTCTCATCCGAGAAGCTTCTTCAGTTCTAAGGAACTTGGAGTAATTAGGACCCTACACCACCGGGCAGAACATGTTCCCTCTAAGCCTGAAGGGAAAAAGAAGGAACACACACATGTAAAGGAAGCACTCAAAACGTGCAGCTATCCTAAATGGGCGTTCTTAAAGTCAGCAAAGAGGCACAGAAAAGAAGACCAGACACCAGCGAGGGAGGATAAGAAGGACAGACGCAACAACATTGTCATCCCCTATGTAGCCGGTGTATCAGAAATACTTAGGAGAGTTTTCTCCAAGCATGACATCCCGGTGCATTTCAGACCCAGCAACACACTCAGACAGAAACTGGTTCACCCGAAAGACAAAACGCCAAAACACAAACTTAACAATGTGGTGTTTGCTGTACAGTGCAGCATTTTTTATTTTTTTTTTTTTTAATGAGTGTACGTGATGTGTTGGTTGTATGTTTGTTGTTTGTTTTGACATACTGCGAATCAATTTCCCATCAGGGACAATAAAGTTACCATTGACCATTGACCATTGACCTCTACATTGGAGAGACCAAACAGCCACTTCACAAGCGCATGGCACAACACAGAAGAGCCACCTCCACAGGACAAGACTCAGCAGTCCATCTGCATCTAAAGGTCAAAGGTCACTCTTTCGAGGATGCCAATGTTCACATTTTGGACAGAGAGGACAGATGGTTTGAAAGAGGAGTGAAAGAAGCCATTTACGTCCACTGTGAGCGACCATCTTTGAACAGAGGCGGGGTTTACGACACCAACTCTCTGCCATCTATAATCCAGTTTTGAGATCCTTCCCAGACGCCTTAACGCCCACTCACATCCTGGGCCATCTGATCTCAGGAATTCGCATGATAAGGTGGGGCCATGTTTCACAATGAACACACCCGAAACTCTGGCTGATTGGGACCCACACCCAGTTTCACACCTTGGCTCAGGTGATTAGAGGATCATCAGGGGGTCCTTTTGTCCCTCTGTGGGAGGTCACTCCCACTGGGTTTATATCTGGGACTCTCCACCATTTGACCTTAGAACTGAAGAAGCTTCTCGGATGAGAGGTGAAACGTCTTCAAGCAACTTAAAGAAGTCCAGACGCTTTTCTTTCCAAGCTCCTTAGACTATCTTTGTAGGTAGTTTGTGTGTGTGTGTGTGACTTTAAGAACGCCCATTTAGGATAGCCGCACGTTTTGAGTGCTTCCTTTACATGTGTGTGTTCCTTCTTTTTTCCTTCAGGCTTAGAGGGAACATGTTCTGCCCGGTGGTGTAGGGTCCTAATTACTCCAAGTTCCTTAGAACTGAAGAAGCTTCTCGGATGAGAGGTGAAACGTCTTCAAGTAACTTAAAGAAGTCCAGACGCTTTTCTTTGCAAGCACCTTTGATTATGATTATTAAGTTTATTCTTACTAAGAATGACAGTGATGGCAATGTTCTGGTTTGCAAAGAAAGGGTGGAGTCTCTGCTCATGTTTTTTTTGTTTCCTGGTTTATTGGTGTCACATTGTTGTCATTTTTCTATCTCAATAAAACTCCTGTGTTTCAGGTGTCTCAACCTGAGCTTGTGCAAGCTCTTCACTTGCTCTGGATTCAAGTCTTTAATAACCTGCTTATTTACAAAAAAGTGTCATAAGATCTATTTTGACCTCTTTGTTTATGACCTTCAGGTCCATTCCTGGCACTACAAACATGAACCTGCACTTCAGCGTGCCTGTAAACATGTTCCCTCTTCTTCTTGTTATCACTTACTGGCAGATCGAGCTTGCTATTTGCTTTCAGAAATAAAATGTTCACATAATGTTACCATTACAGTATTTCATGAGAACCATTTTTTAAAATCCCCCCACCCACCCCAAAACACACACATTTTCAGGGTAGATGTTCAGACTTGAATCACGAAGAATCATGAAGTCACAGAGCAGGGGTTTTTTTCCAAAACAAGTTAAATCAGCTGTTTAATCAAAGGGCTTCTGATGGTTTGTATTTATAAGGAGGAGGAAAATCACAGGTGTCTCAGTTCCATCCAGTATTCCAGTAATCCACACCAGCAAGCACAATGCCACCACCCTGGATCAGCTGAACTGTATTGATATTATCAGTAACACCTAAAAAGATTACAGTATAAATGAGGAAAAAACTGTTTGAACCCACATTATGAACCATTACACTGTTAAGGCTAATTAGTAAGATGTAGCTATGCCAAATCTGCTTGAGATTAGCAGAACAGAGGTAATATGAACACAATATATGTTACGCACACCAGTACTGAAAACTAAAGGCATCACAATTTGCAGAGGCAAATCATGCGGCGAGAGAGAGAGAAGTGGACCCAAGAGCTGGCACTGGTTACCCCGAGTGAGTGTATTTACAAGTGAGGGGTTACAAACAGAAGCAGGGGTGGCATGAACAGAAACTAAGGAAAACCTAAACTGGGAAAACTGAGAAACATGAAACTAAACCTGAAAAGCGAGGAGACTGAGGGTTGAGGTAACACAGGGCATGACAAACAGATGCTCGGACAAAGAGCAGAGATAAACACACACAAAAGGGGTGTCCAAATTCATGGGCTGCATCCTCCTGAGCTCCCGTCCTTCGGGGTCTACATGGGCAGGGGTCCTCAGAAGGTCGGATAGACCGGAAGTAAACGGCTGTGAAATTGGACGGTCGAGCCTTCAGATTTGCGTCACCGCTGTGTCGGTGGAGTTTAATAAACTCGTCCGTCTGCTCCTTGCTGTCTAAAATATAAAAGTACACTGACATATATTCTCGACGTTCTCACACTTCTGTTTAATCAGTTTTCTGTTTGACGTTTATTCAGCTGTGTGAAAATCCCGGAGGAACCCACCCGAGGGATTAATAAAGTTTTATTTTATCTAATCTAATCTAATAACTTTGATCTCAGCCACACTGATTTACTCACGAACAAACAAAGCAAGCCAAAACAATAAAAACACAAACCAGCACAAACGTTCGTCATAAATTTTGTTTGATTCCGTTAATGTGTGTGTGTGTGTGTGTGGGGGGGGGGGGGGGGGGGGCTGTTGACCTCTAGAAATTTTTGTTGATATCTTTAAAGTGAAAGCGGCACAAACAAAAAAATTTGCAGCATAAACCAGCACAAGTGTTTGATACCACTTTTGTTGGATTTGAAGAAGGCGGGGGGCCAACTTCACTCACATCTCTAGTGTGACCCTCGAGCTCCCGGTCAGCTGTCGAGCTGGTGGGTAACAGACGTCTCTGAAAACGTCAGAGCACTTTTGCAAATATGTGATGTCTTGATAAACAGAGCAGATATTTGAAGTTTACACAGCTACGTTCTCACCTGAAAATATGTTAAAAGTTTATTTTGTGACCCAGAAAGATTAATAAGAGTAATATTAAAACTTAGTAGCTGCCGCCATTGTTGGAAACTGGAATTGGCTGGGCCGCGCTATGAATTCTGGGATATGGTGGACCATGAAGGACACACCCGACCCATCCTTCAAATCCGGGGAAAAGGAGGACGCATTTGTCGGCCGCATTCGGAGGAGTCAATGAATTTGGACAGCCTTCGGCGCGTCGCTGTGACGTAATCGGCCCACAAATGCGGCCTCAGGAGGATGCAGCCCATGAATTTGGACCCCCCCCCCCCCAAATATACACACACAAGGTAACAAGGAAATGGCACACAGGAGGGAGACACAGCTAAACCTAATTAGACCAATCACTTATTATTTATATAGTATAACCATAGAAAATATAAATAATCTCTATTGTCTTTGTGACTCAAAGGTGTCTTCTTCATTTCCTTCTGAGAAAATCAGTTTTGTTCTCGTCTGCATAAGGGAAGTAACTGCACTCCTACTGAGCATGTGCAGAGTATTTAATATTGCCCTCAGTCTCCCCATGCCACCTCTACAAAATAAAGAAAACTGGAGCTATCACTGAGAAATAGAAGACTACACTTTCACGTTATATAACTGGCAGTGAACTCAGTTCATTTGTTCATTCGGGGAAACCTGGTGCAGTCTGACCGGTTTATTCCTGGGCAGGCTCATTGTTGGCACTTCCTATTGTGTCAGTCCCGCTGTCACTGCAGATAAATATGAAATGAATCTGTTTCCTTCACAGAACAGATGTGTTGTGTATCTTCATCTTGTGTATCTAGCTCATTCATTCACAAAAACCTGATTCAAATCATATGAAATAAGTGGATTTATCATACTGATGAGAGAAACAACCTGTCTTTGGATGGATGGGTGGAACAGAATCTTTTAACGAACACCAAAATGTTTGCTGTTTTTGTTACATTTTGTGTTTGACATAAAGAAAATAAATAAAGAAACTGATGTTGCTGGGTGATAAAAGTATATCTTTTGTAGAAACTGCAATCTGAGATATGAGACTGCACATTGGTCTCAGGGAGAATTCGATGGCAGTCAGTAGGAAGACTTTAAACATGAAGAAGAGGAAGCAGCTAAAATAAGAGATGGAGAGCTCTGGGTGGTAAGAAAAAGTTACCAGATAGCTGGGAAAGCACTGAGGGAAACATCCAAGAAGGTGTTTGGTGTACTGAAGAAGACTTGGTGTTGGAATGAGGAAGTACAGGAAAGCATTCAGATGAAGAGAGAAGAAGTGGGATAGTCAGGGAGCTGAAGGACATAGACAGGACTGCTGGAAAGGATTAATAAAAACGTTCAACATTGCTGCCTGAAAGCTGAAATGGTGAGCTGCAGTGAGGTGTTGGGTGTGTCGTCAGACAGGTGTCTGAGAGAGGTGTGCTTAATGCAGACAGAGAGGAGGAGGAGAGAGGAAGGTTATTTATGCCTCAGCAGGTCTGGATGTTTGGATCTTACAGCGATGGCTTTCTACAAAGTGATGTGTTTGGCTGCTGGGCTGATGCTCCTGACCCAAGGTAAGAGCTCTCTGCACACACCTGCATCAGGTACGACTCAGAGGGCCAAAACACTCAGGAGCACAGCGCTCCACTTTAAAGTGGCACTGCAGGAAATCCTGGAATTTAAAAATTCACTTTTCGAAGCAGGAGGGAATATCACACTGGGTGGACGAAGGGAAAATAATCAAATTAAGAAAGGCACTGGAAAAATGGAAAAGTGGAATAAAATCTCCCAAAGTCACATAACTGGCAATAACTGCACATCGAAATAAAAACTTTCCCCTCTTAATACCTGAAATTCCTTTTTATGTTCCTTTCAGTTTCTTTTTGGTTACTTCACCATATTTTCTAATATGGGTGGTATTCGTCAACACTTAGGACTTAGAACAGGTATTACAGTGTAAATATGTGGCTCACAGTCCTTTGTAGATTGTACATTCCAACACATTCATCCCAGCACGCAACATACCGACGGCTGTGACAATTCATCCGTATGTTATGCGTTGGGAGGTACGGAGCCCCGCAGGGGACATGGGAGAAAAAAAATTAAGACAAACTTTTGCGAGATCTCACAAAAGTTTTGCGAGAGCTCGCAAAACGAACTCGGGATCTCGCGAAACTTTTTCAAGATCTCGCAAAAGTTGAATTCCAACAATGGCGGCAGCTACTTAGTTGTAATATTACTCTTTCTGGGTCACAAAATACACTTTTAAGATATTTTGAAGCATAATTGTAGTTGTGTAAACGTCAGATATCAGCTCGGTTTACAAGACATCACATATTTGCAAAAGTGCTCCGACGTTTTCGGAGATCTGACACCCACCATCTCGAAGCTGACGGGAGGTCGATACCTACTACAGCCGCGAGGAACACCGCTCTCCCGGCACATCGTGCCTCGACCTCTGGGTCGGCTTCGAGTTGGCGGCCTCCGAAGAATGCAGCTAAAATTTTTGCGAGATCCCGAGTTTGTTGTTAATTTTTTTTTTCTCCCATGTCCCTTGTGGGGATCCGTAAGGAGGCATGAGAGCGGGTTGGAATGAATCTATAGATGGGTTTTACGTGTGGCATGAAAATCAACCTAATAAAGCATTATGTACTTTTGATCATGAATCACTTTGGAAAACACTTTGTGATAGGGTTCAGGTTGTGGTTAAGGTTGGGGCTGGAATGGACGCTGGAGCCTCTTCCCTAAGCATGTCTTCTATTCGATTCAATTGAGAAACCAGAGTGTTTCATGAGGATGTGGAAAGGTACCTTTTGCACTGCTATGAGACGCCTAACGGCGTGACAAATATGTTGTGAGTTGGATATTCAAAAGTTATTTTTGTTGGTGATAACAAAATCAGAATTTTCTTTATATGTCATCAAATCATCAAAATCTTAAACCTTAGCCCTGCGGTGTAACTAAGGTCACCTGGTCCAGCCCTAACTATATGCTTTAGCAAAAAGGAAAGTTTGAAGCCTAATCTTGAAAGTAGAGATAGTTTCTGTCTCCTGAATCCAAACTGGAAGCTGGTTCCACAGAAGAGGGGCCTGAAAACTGAAGGCTCTGCCTCCCATTCTACTTTTAAATACTCTAGGAACAACAAGTAGGCCTGCAGAGCGAGAGCGAAGTGCTCTAATAGGGTGATATGGTACTACAAGGTCATTAAGATAAGATGGGGCCTGATTATTTAAGAGCTTGTATGTGAGGAGCAGGATTTTTTTTACAGTTCATTACAGTCGTCCAGCCTGGAAGTAATAAATGCATGAACTAGTTTTTCAGCGTCACTCTGAGACAGGATATTTCTAATGCTTCTCTTGCACATGAATGAAGGAAGTCACTTTATTTGGTACAATTATGTAGGCTTCAGTAAACATAACTTTAAAATACCATAGCAAGAATGTGAAGACATGTTCATGTTCATGGTGAAGTTAAGGTTCTCATGACTTATGGATAAATATTACTAATGCATTAGTATCATTACTAATATTTATCCACTCATGGGACAAATGAGAATAATTACTACAGCTGAGGTGATGTTGGACACCTACCTTTGGAAAACTATATTTTGATTGCGTGCATCTGTTTGTGTCGTGTTTGAATGTGAACCTTTAACTGAAGTCAGTGTTGTGTTTCTTTAAATTTCTGTGTCATACTCTCCTCTGACCCTGAGATGGATGAATGAACATAACACTGTCAGCCTCTGCAGTAATGTAGTAGTGGTATTAGTAGAACAACATCCACTGTGTGCACAGGCTGTAAACATTTTTATTTCTGCTCTAACGTTTTAATATGGGAGTCTGTGGGGACTGACTCTCTGCTGGAGCCTCTGCTGGATGCTTTCAGCTAACCACAGCCAGTCAATTTTACCACTATTGTTTTCTGTGTTTCAGAGTCTGAGTCACAGCTGGATGGTAAGAAAAAGCTTCTTTGTGTAATGATTTAGTTTTATGTGTAATAAATCTTTTGTTTCATATGAATATTAGTTTGTGAGTGAACTGTAGACTCCAGGATCACTGTGTCCTCACTCAGCAGTTTGTAGTGCTGAGAGTTTACAGCTCCTACAGTAATGCTCACTCTGTGTTTTAATGTCGGTCTTCAGTTTGTGGTCAGCCAAAGCTCAACACCAGGATTGTAGGAGGACAGGTGGCCCCTGTTGGCAGCTGGCCCTGGCAGGTCAGTCTGCAAAGATTTGGGTCCCACTTCTGTGGAGGATCCCTCATTAACAGTCAGTGGGTGCTGACTGCTGCTCACTGCTTTCAAACGTGAGTGATGAGGCTGAAGCTGCACTCTAAACATGATTTAGTGGAATAAAGACATTATGAAAACTCCCCATCAGGGGACCAGGGGTGTAACACGATAAATAGCTAACAGGGCAGAAAGTCAAAGATGTCATTTCATTTTAACAATCACAATAACTGTGCATCGTTTCGTTTCCTGATCTCAGCATTACTGCAAGCGGTCTGACTGTGAATCTGGGCCGTCAGAGTCTACAGGGATCTAACCCCAATGCAGTGTCTCGAACAGTAACACAGATCATCAAACATCCAAACTACAACTCTGGTACCAACGACAACGACGTCTGCCTGCTGAGGCTCTCCTCACCGGTGACCTTCAACAACTACATTTCTCCCGTCTGCCTGGCAGCTTCAGACAGCATCTTCTACAGCGGTGTTAACAGCTGGGTCACCGGCTGGGGCAACATTGGAGAAGGAGGTGGGTCATAAAGACACCAGATTGGTTTTAGAGTAAAGTTGATTATAATGCAGGGAATAAGAGTGCTGTCTCAGAAATATTTAGAGCAATATAATTCTTCTTCTGTGAGCTAAAGAGATTCTGATGACTGCAAACACATTATTTTTAAAATGTTTCATTTTTAAATTTGAATTGTGCCTTCAATAGAAAATAATGCCTAGAACAAACCGTCTGATGCCATCTGTATCTCAACGTCTTGGTATCTTTTCAGGCATCTTGTTGCCATAAATTCTTTGGCCTCTCGTTCAGAGAGGTAATCTTGTATTCTCTGGTTCCAGATGTTCTTCAGCTGTAAGAAGGCTTTTGCTTTGTCTGTTCTCCCAACTTTTAATGACACTCCCAATGTAAGGGAAGGAATCCATGTCTGTGTTACTACTTCTGAGACAGCTATATTTATTTCCATGATCTTGATTTTCTCTTTGCAGATGTTAAGTCTTACTTATGCAGAAACAGCTGCAAGCTTGCTTGTCTTATCTTTTTATTGCCAGGTAGCACTGCCCATCACTTTTCAAGTTTTTCCTGCTTACTGAATACATTTTATATTCAAATGTAAGCAACTTAGAAATGATATGCAGCAAGTCATTGTGTGGTGAGTTGTGTACCAGTCTTCAACAAAAGTCTTCCAACTCTGCCAGGCTCCACTTTGCCTTGTCGCATTTCTCCTTGTTTACAATGTCTTCATGAAACATTTCTCCATGTTGGTCATTGACATTTTTATGTTCATGCATCTATAAATTGTCCTGGCTGGCAAGGCAGGCTATGTGGAGGTGAGGTGAGGACCCGTGCAGGCAGAGGTTGTGATGAGAACGAGCTTTATTTACAAGAAGTGCAGGATTCAACAGGAGCGGAGATAGTAAACACAGGGAACTCAGAAAACTCTAAACCGGGAAACTGATGAAACCAAACTGAAACTTGAATCCAGGGAGAAATCAGAGCTGACGAAACGAGGACGCAAAGACATATGACACATACCTTCAAAGTAAAACAGGAAGTTTGTTTGTGTGTGTGTGTGTGTGTGTGTGTGTGTGCGTGTGTGTGTGCGTGTGTGCGTGCGTGTGTGCGTGTGTGCGTGCGTGTGTGTGTCTGTGTGTGTGCGTGCGTGCGTGCGTGCATGCGTGTGCGTGTGTGTGTGCGTGTGTGCGTGTGTGTGTGTGTCTGTGTGTGCGTGTGTGCGTGTGTGTGTGCGTGTGTGCGTGTGCGTGCGTGCGTGCGTGCGTGTGTGTGTGTCCGTGTGTGTGTGCGTGCGTGCGTGCATGCGTGTGCGTGCGTGTGTGCGTGTGTGTGTCTGTGTGTGTGCGTGCGTGCGTGTGTGCGTGTGTGCAAGTTACAATTTTTTTTGTTAAGGTCTGTTTACAGATACAAAGCAAAAGCTGGACGTGCCCTCGCTTGTGTGTGGGTTTCAACAAGTATGAATTTAGCCCCGATTTTTCTTCCCTTCAGCTGATTGGTCAATGTGATGTCAATCACAAATTTAACAGTCCAGTCAGAGAACAGATGGGTTTGCCGCTTTACTGAGCTTATTACTACAATTTATTTATGACCACAATTTGAGCCCATACAGTTCCACCTTTCCCCTCTAATTCCAGCCACTTACTAAAGTATGGAATACCACATTGGTGCCAGTTAGTCTGCCAGCCTCCCTGCTACTGCCGCCTGAACCCACTATCCCCTCTGCAGTGGAACCACAGACCACACCCTGCCACAGAGCATGTGATAATATTCTGGTGCTTTACAAGAACTACTGTCTGAAGACGGACAGATAAATAAGCTAAATTTTACCATGTGTGATTCACATTACTGTAAATTAGAGGTGTTTTATCCCACCGGCTTGCTCCTGAACAAAGTCAATCCGATACATGTTTCTGTAGTGTTAATGTTATGAAATGGCTGTGGCAGTCAGGATGTAGGACCCAAAATGTTGCAGTTGCAGAAAAAAAACCCTCTATAAACAATAAACTTGCAAAAACAAACCCAAACCAGGAACTAATACTAAACACAAAGATACTGGAGACAAGAGACTAGGGACAAGGACCACGGAGGGAAAGAAACGGAGGGAGATCAGGGGCGGTTACCCCTGTACTGGCAGACCGGGGTGGTAGTTCCAATTTTTAGCAAGGGGGACCGGAGGGTGTGTTCCAACTACAGGGGGATCACACTCCTCAGCCTCCCTGGGGAAAATTTATGCCAGGGTGCTGGAACCTCGGATACAGGAAGAGCAATGCGGTTTTCGTCCTGGTCACGGAACACTGGACCAGCTCTTTATCCTCTCAAGGATACTCGAGGGTGCATAGGTGTTTGCCCAACCAGTCTACATGTGTTTTGTGGACTTGGAGAAGGCATTCGACCGTGTCCCTCAGGGTGTCCTGTGGGGGCTGCTGCGGGAGTATAGGATGTCTGGTCCATTGCTACGGGTCATTCAATCCCTATACAACCGTTGCAAGAGCTTGGTTCGCATAGCCGGCAATAAGTTGGACTCGTTCCCAGTGGGTGATGGGCTCCGCCAGGGCTGCCCTTTGTCACCGATTCTGTTCATAACTTTTATGGATAGAATTTCTAGGTGCAGCCAAGTGGCGAAGGGCTTTCACTTCGGTGGCCTCAGAATCTCAACTATGCTTTCCGCAGATATGTGGTTCTGTTGGCTTCAATGGGTAACGGCCTCCAGCTCGCGCTGGAATGGTTTGCAGCTGAGTGTGAAGCAGCGGAATTGAGGATCAGCACCTCCAAATCTGAGGCCATGGTTCTTATCCGGAAAAGGGTGAAGTGCCCACGCCGGGTCAGAGATGAGTTCCTGCCTCAAGTGGAGGAGTTTGAGTATCTCGGGGTCTCGCTGCATCAGTCCCTCGTGGTGAAGAACGAGCTGAGCGTAAAAGCAAAACTCTCAATTTACCGGTCGATCTACGTCCCTACTCTCACCTATGGTCACGACCGAAAGAATGAGAGAGCGGATACAAGCGTTGGAAAGAGCTTCCTCCGAAGGCTGGCTGGCCTCTCCCTTAGAGATAGGGTGAGAAGTTCGGCCATCTGGGAGGGGCTCAGAGTAGAGCCGCTGCTGCTCCACATCGAAAGGAGCCAGCTGAGGTGGTTCGGGAATCTGACAAGGATGCCTCCTGGGCTCCTTATGGGGAGGTGTACCGGGCATGTGCCACCGGGAGGAGGCCCCAGGGCAGACGCACAACACGCTTGAGAGATTATATCTCTCGGCTGGCCTGGGAACGCCTTGGTGTTCCCCCAGAAAAGCTAGAGGAGGTGGCTGGGGAGAGGGAGGTCTGGGCTTCTCTGCTTAGGTATAAAGCGGAAGAAGATGGATGGATGGCTTTTAAAACATGAGGTTATTATAAAATGAGGTTGATACATGAGGAATCGTGGCTACAAGATCATTCTGGTACCAAACTTATGCTGACCACCTATATGTTCCACAAGCAGATAGGACAATAAATGTTGAACATTTTGAGCAGATTTTTGTTTGATTTTTTTGTCCGTCTCAGTGTCCCTTCCTTCTCCACAAAACCTGATGGAGGTGGAGGTTCCTGTTGTGGGAAACAGGCAGTGTAACTGTGACTATGGAGTGGGATCAATCACTGACAACATGATCTGTGCCGGGTTAAGTGCAGGAGGAAAGGACTCCTGTCAGGTGATTGTTGTTACCTGTGTTTGGCACATTTTCACCTTCTACAGTTTCTTCTCCTCAGCTAACAGTAAATGTTTCTGCTCTCAAAGGGGGATTCAGGAGGTCCAATGGTGAGCAAGCAGAGCGGTCGCTGGATTCAGGCGGGAGTCGTCAGTTTTGGGGAAGGTTGTGCCAGGCCGAATCTTCCAGGAGTCTACGCCAGAGTATCCCAGTACCAGACCTGGATCAGGACCCAGATCTCCTCCAACCAGCCGGGCTTCATGGCGTTCACGTCCACTGGGACCGACAGTGACCTCAGTGTCTCCTGCACAGGACTGACACCAGTGCCAACCACCACCACCCCTCCAACCACCACCACACCTTCAACCACCACTACCACACCTGCAACCACAATCCCCACCACAACAACCACAGTCCCTGCAACAACCACCAACAGAGCCGCCATCATTACAACAACCACGCGACCTTCGACCACTCCCCACTGTGAGTGTCCATCATGAAAGCACTTTATTAAAAAATGGTTTGGTCTAACCTACCTGACCTCAAGCTGATGGGTTCATGCGGTCCAAGTTTTTAAAATTTCTTTGTGTCTTCCTCTGTTTATTTTTTCAGCACTGGTCTGTGGACAAGCTCCAAGGAATTCTCGCAACATGGGGGGACCCTCAGTGGTGGCTGGTTCGTGGCCGTGGATGGCGAGCCTACAGAAGAATGGAAGTCACGTGTGTGATGGGTCTCTGGTGGCCTTGGACTCAGTGTTGAGCAACGCCAACTGCTTCTCAAGGTCAGTTGAAGTTTGGACAGACAATGATACAGTTCATCCTCTGGGGACTGAGTAAATGACATGATTTTCCCTCCACCACAGTCGTGTTCACGTCCAGTTGACATTGATGACACTGTGCATCAGTCAAATGCTGATTAGTTGACAAGTGGGCCAGAACCGGAAGAGACAAAGAGACAGTTGAGTTCACAAAAAGAGGCACAAGAAAATCATTAAAGATTTGAAAAAAATGCAGCATAAAGGGTACAGACAGCGGCTGCAGTGGATACTATTCATTGTTTTAAACCTTCAGTTTCACTTCAGCTCTTTGTAGTCTAGAATTCTTCTCCATAGCTGGCTGACAGACCAACAACAGCACAAGCAAAAGTTGTACCACGGACCAGTTGTACCACATATTTACATTTTATGTTGAAACATATTTTCCCTATTTGACAGCGAAGATCTAAGAGGCAGAGCCAATACCAAGATGATTAGCTCAGGTGGAATTTAAAAAATCTGTCTACCGTCCAAAATGGTAGTGCTGGCTCTGATAATCACTATTAAAAACCTTTACTGGGACAAGACTGGCAGGAATCAAATCACCATCAAGCTCCAACATGATAAAGGGGGGTCCTGTTGTCCCTCTCTGGGGGGGACACTTGAATCTGGGACTTTCCACCATTTGACCTTAGAACTGAAGAAGCTTCTCGGATGAGAGATCTTCAAGCAACTTAAAGAAGTCCAGACACGTTTCTTCCCAAGCTCCTTAGACTACGATGACCTGGATGACTGAGAACCTTCACAGACAACATGAAGAAAAGTTTAGTTTGCAGCTGTTCAACACTGTTTGGATTACAACATGAAAAATCTAAAGTAAAGGTACAGAATTAAATTAAAAGCATAAACATGCAGATGAACAACCACCAATGGTGGTCAAAAAACATGGTGGAGATCTTTTTGAGACTGAACACTCTCTCTTTCCACTGAGTCAAAATTTTGTAAACAAACTTTATTCCACTGTGGATTAATCCACCAGTGAAAACTGTGCCCAAAAGACTGAAAATGTAACCATCCCTTTAAGGAAATGAGCGAGTCTTTAAAAATGAAAACTGAACACAGTCCCAGCAGATCAGATGATCTCAGTGCCAGCCCACATCACCTGATGGTGCCACACTTCCACACTTTCCACACATGTAGCTGCTCAGTCCAACACATGGTTAGCATTTAAGCTGATTCTGTGTTAAAACTAGTCCATGGGTACATTGTAATTTACAGTGCAACCTGATGTGCAGCTCTATAAAGATAAAGCAAGGCTTCGACTCAGATTGTTTTTTTCATCAGCAACATTTTCTGTGACGTGTTTTGTACTTTTTTCAAATTAAATCAAAGAGAAAAACTTCACCATTAACTGATTAGCTCTCTGGGTCTTCTAGTTAAATATATACCTCTTTAATTAGAACCAGGCCTGAATGTCACCAGGTTCAAATCTGTAAAACTTGGGTCCCATGAAGTTGAGCGTAAAGGTGTAGATTTTGTTTGAAGCTGATGAAGTTTATGTTTGTGTGCTTCGTTCCTCCCACAGCTCCCCTGTAGCGTCCGAGTGGACTGTCGTGTTGGGGCGTCTGAAGCTAAATGGATCCAACCCCTTTCAGGTGACGCTGAATGTGACAAATATCACTCTGAGCAACACGACCGGGACCAACATAGCCATCCTCCGTCTATCTGCCCAGCCCACCCTGACCGACTACATCCAGCCCATCTGCTTGGACAACGGGAGAACCTTCGCCGAGGGCTTGGCGTGCTGGGCGGCCGGTTGGAGTCCTGGAAGAGGAGGAGGTGAGTCAGCAACATGAAGGCTGACAGAGTTCTGCCCAGACTCTGCACCAGTCCATCTCTCAGATTACACATGTGGACCACTGCACTTACAGTTTCTTTAGTCAAACATCAGGATTTTTTTATCTTTCATGATGTTAGCTGAGGAAGTTATGCAGCAGTTTCAGACCTCGGTGGTAAACTGTGGGAACTCATCATCGAGTGAGAGCATCTGTACAGACGTGTTTGCACTGCAGCAGGTAAATGACTGGATTCTTCTTCTTATAACACTGTCTGCTGACATGTTGTTTATTCTGGACCGTGGATTTAGCTGCTCATCAGAGCCACGTGATGAATTTGGATAGTTTCATCATTTTCAATTTCCACAGGGCTTACAATGCTTGGAATCTTTATAAACATGTAAGAATTTCCAGCTTTGAAATCTCAGTCTTCATTATGGGCCAATTAGATTTAAGGCTAATTTAATTTAGTGCCATCCATCTTCATCCGCTTTATCCGGAGCCACCTCCTCCAGCTTATCCGGGGGAACACCAAGGCGTTCCCAGGCCAGCCGAGAGATATAATCTCTCCAGCGTGTCCTGGGTCTGTCCTGGGGCCTCCTCCCGGTGGGACATGCCTGGAACACCTCACCCAGGAGGCGCCCAGGAGGCATCCTTGTCAGATGTCCGAACCACCTCAGCTGGCTCCTTTCGATGTGGAGCAGCAGCGGCTCTACTCTGAGCCCCTCCCAGATGGCCGAACTTCTCACCCTATCTCTAAGGGAGAGGCCAGCCACCCTTCGGAGGAAGCTCATTTCTGCCGCTTGTATCCGCGATCTCGTTCTTTCGGTCACTACCCACAGCTCGTGGCCATAGGTGAGGGTAGGGACGTAGATCGACCGGTAAATTGAGAGCTTCGCTTTTACACTCAGCTCCCTCTTCACCACGACGGACCGGTGCAGCGTCCGCATCACTGCAGCCGCAGCACCAATCCGTCTGTCAAGAACTCTCCGTCTCTCCAAACTTCTCCCACACCCGAGTTTTTGCTTCAGCCACTTCCCGAGCCGCAATTTAGTGCCTTTGTATGTTTGTTTTAAGCCTAAATTTCTTATTAGAGTGAATGTATTCTGATTATTATTGTTGTTGTTGTTACAACTGTCTAAAATGTTTTTAACACCTAGTTGAATCTGGTCGTTTAGTTATAGGTAGTTAATATAATCTTGGTCCAAGGTTTTCACTGGGCAGGGATAGCTCAGTAGGTAGAGTGGTGGCCCCATGATCGGAAGGTTGGGGGTTCAACTCCACTGAACGGCTACCCTGAGGTACCCCTGAGCAAGGTACCGTCCCTACACGCTGCTCCCCAGGCGCTGCATTGGTGGCTGCCCACTGCTTCACTGGGTGAATGGGTTAAATGCAGAGGAACTATTTCCCTATGGGGACTAACACATACACATTACATTACACACATTCTAGTAAACAGAGTGTCTCAAACTCTGAAACACTAACTTTCCTGTCTGTTTGTTCAGGGTGATTCTGGCGGGCCGCTGATGTGTAAGCAGGGCGGCTCTTGGTTCCAGGCGGTCGTGTTAACAGCTCCAAGCTCCTCTGCCGGGAGAAGACGAAGCTCAGTCATGACCTTCACCAGACTGAGGACCTTTGACTCCTTCCTGTCTGAGACGGTCAAGTCACTCTTGTCTCCAGCCTTGAATATCACCAGTGCCAACTCCGCCAACCCCACCAATGTCTCCGTCACTACCACTACCAGCAGTACCTACACCACCACAATGGTTACCACTACTACTGACTCGAAAAGCGTGTTCAACAGCAGCGAGGGTTGTCCTGCTCACTCCTTCATCTTTGTCTTCTTCCATCTCCTCAGCTTCGCCTTTTGTCTCCAACTCTGCCTTTAGGGAACCCAAACTTGATTCACATGATGTGATGGACACAGATGAATGTGAACAAGCTTCGATGTTGAGACTTTACAGGTTTAGAGCTTTGCCTGTCAATCTTTGATCTGATTCTGCCTTGATTGGATTTCTACAGAGAGCTCAGTAATGATATTCTGGATAATCAAAACAGGCATTCATACATGAAATACTCCTGGATGAATCTTCAGCGCAAACATCATGACCCTCCGACAGAGAGGTCGACTTCAAATCCCAGAGGGCAGTACAGTGCCATCATCCAATCCAATCATTGGAGGGGGTTCTACTGATTACAATGAAAGTATTTTTTTTTAATATGCAAATGATTTATGTGCACTATGAGACATTCGTTGTGATGAATTCAGGCTCACGCTGTGCAGCCTGGAGAGTTGAGTTGAGTTCCTTCCACTGAGGAAGTTTTATTTACACAACCTCTGTAATCCCGATTTAGTTAATGAGCATAACACAGTGAGCTGAACAGATCAAATGACATGAAGGAATTACATTTGTCTATATTTAGTGGGGCCTTGTCCTTACACTGACCTCATTATGAGAAACTATAGACATTTAAGAAAAAGCAGATTAATGAAATGTGTTTCTGTACCTCTGAGGGACGACTACCTGGAGCCCAAGATTCAGGCTGGACTGGAAGAAATCCTCTAAATCTTGCACTGAACATAAAAATGTAGCCCAGCAGTTTAAACTTCATGTTTTTCTGAAACTGAACAGATCAGTAGGATATTTATCAGGTTTAGAGAAATATATTTGTGGATTTTTTCGAACACAGAGACAATGACCATCCCTACCTCATGTCCTGGGCCAATGTTAAGCACTTAATGCTCACAGAACCGAACTGTCTTTAAGGGCAGCACACATACTGACCTCTCTCTGGTATTGGATCTGTTATGGTGGCAGTAAAGTGAGTGATTATTGGAGAATGGTTGCAAGCTCTTTCACTGATTCTGCTGAAGTTCTACTTTATAATGTTATTTTTTTATTCTGGTGTAAATATCACTGAGATTAAAAAATGTCCTTTTCATGACTGACATGGGCAATGAAGCAACAAGGGTTTTATTTTAAAAAATGAACACCAGTTATCAGCGTCACATCTGCTAAAGCAGACAGCATGCAGCGACAAGGATGAGTACCCAAATAAGAGAAAGTAACTGATTTAATTGAAGGCGTGCCGTTTATTAAGACAGATCCACAAGAAAGGGAAAAAACATAAGTCTCAAACTAAACAGAGGAATGCCTAAACACAAAATAATAACCAGACCACTACAAAAACCTTGGAAAACATACACAATATATACACCAAGGGTAACGATGGAATCTGGTAAAGAGAAAAACAGAATACACTAACACAGCACACAGAACTATTACAATAAAACAGGAAACCACAGACTCACAAACAGAGGGAGCATGAGATGTAACTGGAAAACGAATAAATAAACATGGAGACAGAATTTAACCTACATAAGGGACATGACACACTCAGAAGGAACAGAACCATGACTAACAGTAAATCAAAGGATGTTAATAATCAAAAACATAACACTTGGTCACCAGACCCAGGGCCATGACCATCGGGTTACGGCTGTCTTTGGACAATGAACATAAAACATAAACACACAATAAAAAGTTTCACACAAATATCCAGATAACATGAAAAAAGATCAAAGCCTAGATTTATCCCATATTTGGGAAATTCTAACTGATCTTCAGAAAGCCTTGGAAAGCTGTTGAGACAGTATACAGCTGAGCATTATTTATTGTAAATAAATACAACTCAAACACACACAGGCCCAACATCAGCAGCTGACTGCAGGGCATGAAAAAGAGTCAAATTACACTTCGTTACGATCACGAGGTTTAATTTTCTGTCAGTTTTAGTATTTTATTTGATTACTATGTAAACAACGATGTGGGAGAAAGTTAATAAATGTTGGGAAAAACTAAAAAGCCAACACCGTCTTTGTCCTGTGGGAAATAACACAAACTGAATCGTGTGCAGTGTGAAAAGACAGCTTTCAGCGCCCCCTACTGGTGGATTTGTGCACATACAGTGTTAGGCTTCTTTAATGAGAGAGATTCTGTTAAACTCTTACTCTACAAGGTTGGATGCATCAGTGATGAGCAGCTGGAGGAGAACGGAGCACTTGTGGATAATTCTGTGGAGCTGGGTGGTGCGGCCACAGACCATTTGTTAATTTTACAACATCAGAGGAATTTGACTTTGTCTGTGTTTTAATGTTACACCTGCCTGTTTTACACACCTGAGAGAATTCAGCCTGAAGTTTTAGACTGAGGGTGAAGTATCAGAGGTTATCTGTGACAGAAGGAGAGCAGCAAGAGGGAAGGTTTGAAGATGGCAGTGAGACCTGTTGTGAAGCACTGGAGTTGTGGAGGTCAAGCTAAAGTTAAGATGTTCACTGGCAGTGAGTGGGATGGAAATTCCTCCATCAGTGGGACAATTGAGAATCAAACAGGCTGGGATGGATTGAGCATGTGTAGAGGAGGGAGGGTGGTTAACTTGACAAAAGATGATAAAGATGGAGCTGCCAGGCAGGAGGACAAGAGGAAGACCTCAGAGGTGATGCGGAGGTCAGCCACTCAGGACCAAAATGTTGCTGTTTTTGTGCTTTCTATCAGCTTTTGCGATTTCTGAGCCACATGGACACCAGAACAAGCAGTGTTCAAGTATACAAATAGTAAACACTCCTAAATTACAATCATGATACAAAACCTAACCAGGAACTGCTGCCTTCTGAGTAGGAGGATGTAGGTAACACCATGCTGCAGATGAGCTGCATACAGGGCTGGACTGGGACAAAAAAATCGGCCCGGGCATTTTGACTAGAGACCGGCCGCCATTATAGGAAAAACCATAAAGCCTTTGAATGAAAACAAACGCTGTTGTGACAGTGACATACAATGTTTTCGTGGTATATATGCATCAATCTATCAATCGTTTGTTGTAAGATTCAGATAATTATTTAATAAAAGCTGGAAATTTTAAATGAGAATAACAAAGAAACTGAAAACTGAGATTTTTTTAAAACTCCTTTTTTGCGTTTACGTGTGGACGAGGAATACAGAGTTGGTCACGCAGCGTCAAAGGTATGTGCCTTTATTCACGACACGCTGTGGCCGCGTTATTGTTTACATGAGATGAATTGCAGAATGGCAGATAGAGACAAAATACTGTTACTGTTAATCTGACTGTCTGCAGGTTTTACACGCAGTTACTGTCCCTCCATTTAGAAAGGCAGAGGCGTCACGGTGTGATTATTTTACTGTATGTGTAATAATATTCAACGTTGCTATCAATGCATTTTTCAAAAAATGCCTCTCTGTGCAAAGTGGGTCCAAAAACACCCATATGGAAAAGATATATATAAATCTTATAAAGTTTTTATCTGTCTTGTATGAAACTTGTATGAAAAGAATACAAGAGTGAAACCACATATAAGATCCCTTGAAAAATTATACAATGAAACTTGTATGTTTTGGATACTTACTAAAAAAAATATATGAAAGTAATGAGAAAGTGGACACTTTCACGAGTAAATCATATAAGTTTTTACTATTTCTTTTCCATATGGGCATGAACAGCTGTGGGATCCTGTTTGTCCGTGGTTTAAACAGCCCAGCGCTGCTCTCGACGCAGGGAAAACCAGTTCTGCAGGAGACCTACCTCGGCACTTGTGCAGGTGAAGCCAAAGGGAAGATTTGCTTCACCATATTTTCCAGTCTTTGGCTGATATATATATACATTCAGCGATGCTTCATCTCCTGCTTTGCATTTCTGTGGGCGCACTGTGCTAGCAGTGTTCAAGCGTTTTGTTTTTTCTCCCCCCCCCCCTCCCTTTCCATACCCCCCCCCCCCCCCCCCCCCCCCCCCCCCCACACACACACACACACACTTTGGGAAGGTCTGAGTTAGACTATTATTAAAAATTCTCTGCTGTGTAAATTTGAAAGGAAAACAGGAACTGAATTATGTAAATCATTGGAAAACAAAAAACGCTGTACACTCCACAGAGTGTGAAAGTTTGGGTGAGGTTGGTGTTCACTGATTGACAGATTAGTATCAGAATAATATCAGCATGCAGGAACGTTGACAGGTGACATTCACCTGATGGTGTTCTGCCGTTGTTCTTCCTGTGCAGGTCAGCTGAAGTCTTCATTATAATCTGGGACTGTAAATTGCGCAAAATTAAATGTTCTGGCCACCTCCGTTATTTTTATGTGGACTTTACTAACTGTAAAAAGTATAATATCACTGCAGATCTAACATCTAAGTGAACAAACGACAGGGCAAATTATAATTGCCACAATGAAACTGAACTACATTTGATTAGGTGACATCAGAAAAACGCACTTCTTACATCGATCTAATGAACGTTAGTAAAAAGTGTCCAAGGGGGGACAGAGGGGTGATTGGAGGAGACTTTAATGGGCATGTAAGTGAAGGAGACAGAAGGAAGAATGTGACTAGCCAGCATTAGATGGTATTCTGTAGTATTACTTTAAAAATCAAGACTAGGAAGCAGCTGAAGGCAAGGACTGAATGCTTGACGTTAAAGAAGGAAGAAGGTTGCACCGAGTTCAGGTTCTGTGTTGTAGGGAACAGATACCAGGTAGCTGGAGAGTGCAGCTGCACTGCTGAGGGAAACTGCCAAGAAGGCGTTTGGTGAATCCTCCACACAGAGGAAAGCGAGCAGGGAGACTTAGTGGTGGAATGAGGACATACAAGAAAGTATACGAAGGAAGAGGCTAATGAAGAAAAAGAAGGGTAATCAGGGAGATGAAGGAAGTAGGCAGGACAAGGTAAATGAAATGAATGAAAGGGAAGGTTTACAAGATGGTAGTGACACCTGCTGTGATGTATGGCTTGGAGACAGTGGCCATGAGAAAAAGGCAGGATCAGAAATGAATCCATCATAGAGACAGCAGAGAGGCAGCGATGGCTCGAGCATGTGCAGAGGATGGAGGGTGGATATACTGGACAAAAGGGTGAAGATGGAGGTGCTGGGCAGGAAGAGAAGAGGAAGATCTCAGAGAAGATTCATGAATGTACTTAAGGAGGACATGCAGAGGGTTGGTGTGACAGAGGAGGATGCTGGGTTTTAGTTTCTGACCCAAACCAAAATCAGGGAGTCCATCAGGGTTTTGGAAATAGAAAAGGTTGCTTTAAGTGAAGTCATGATTGCTCAGCTCCACCTTTTTCATGTCACCCATATTAGATTCTTTGCTTTGTCACTGTATTTCCTGGCAGCTTATCACCTCTTAAGTCCTACTCGAGATTGAGATAAAGACTGAGAGCATTTAGTGTGATGGCTTTTTAGTCAGAAGTCTGATGGCTTTTTGTTTGTGGTCTGACGTTTGAGGCTGAGAATAAATGCACACTGTTAAATATCAACACTTCACTGTTCTTTTGATTCCTCATAGGCAGCTGATGGAAGACAACACACTGCTCAGTAGACCATTTTACACTTTATTCTCTCACAAAATCACTTCTACAAGGGAGATGCGTCCTGAATGACACTCTGCGTGGATCTGGTGATGGCGGTGTGCCCCTAACAACAGTGTTACACAGGCATTCAGTAGTCACGTTGCACAGCGCACTCAGAGGTTATTGTCTATTAGCTGCACAACATCTTTTCTCAGCTCTGGCGAGGCTGTGACCTTTCCCTACTCCCTTCCAGTAAATTTCTACTGGCAGATGGTTCCCTGTTATCAACTCCTGCAGACAAGCGTGGGTGAGGGTCTCCAACAATCTACCACTAAAGGACACGTAGTCTAAGGCCTTTATTATCAGGGCCGTGTCCACTTAATACTACGCTATATAATTATATGACACTTATTAATATAAAGCATAGCTTTGAGGCACTGAGTGTGAATGAGTGGATGACTGGGTGTGTAAAGCACTTTGGGGTCCCTAGGGGGGACTAGTAAAAGCGCTACACAAATACAGGCCATTTAACATTTACATTTATATTATTCAGCTTTTAAAATACTTCAGTCTGTAGCAGGATTTTGGTTTCATGATGTAAAATTAATAATTAATTCTAAAAATAAGTTACTCATCAGTAAAAAGGTTGCTGCCTGAAAGCCGAAATTCCTGTTTAATACAACATGTTTGATGTGAGGAATATCAGGTGACCCGCATTGAAGCGTTGGGTGTGTCGCCAGACAGGAAACTGAGAGGTGTGTTTAATGCAGACAAAAAGGAGGCCAGAGGGAGGGTATTTAAGCCTCAGCAGGTCTGGAGGTTTGGATCTTACAGTGATGGCTTTCTACAAAGTGATGTGTTTGGCTGCTGGGCTGATGCTCCTGACCCAAGGTAAGAGCTCTCTGCACACACCTGCATCAGGTACGACTCAGAGGGTGAAAACACTCAGGAGCACAGCGCTTCACTTTAAAGTGGTACTGCAGGAAGTAACACAGCAGGAAAAGGAGGACTGGTGGTTTATTTTAGCTTCATCTTTATCTTGATGATGAAAGCTTAAACACAGATTAATATGACGATCTGTTTGGTTTGGGGAGCAGCTGAGAGGCTGAACTGCTCTCCATCAATCAGCGTCTGTATAATAATAATGGATTGGATTTATATAGCGCTTTTCAAGGCACCCAAAGCGCTTTACAATGCCACCATTCATTCACTCTCACATTCACACACTGGTGGAGGCAGCTACAGTTGTAGCCACAGCTGCCCTGGGGCAGACTGACAGAAGCCAGGCTGCCATATCGCACCATCGGCCCCTCTGGCCAACACCAGTAGGTGAAGTGTCTTGCCCAAGGACACAACGACCAGGACAGAGAGCCCAGGGATCGAACCAGCGAACTTCCGGTTACAGATGTGCTTCCCAACCAAGGTCGCCCCTGTATCACAGTTATTAGAGCTGCTTTATTTTATTTTAGCTTTGATTCAGTTTTTAACTTTCATTTTCAATTCAATTTATTTTTTGATGATTTAATCAGTCAGTTTTGAGTCATACACAGAGATTTATTCATGAGGGTGTACATGTTTAAAAAAAACTAAAAACGTTTATTAATGATTATTTGATGGTTGTTTATAACTTTTCTATCAAACAATGGAGTAATTGTGGAGAGTGGAAAATGAAAGCAAAACTATAAAAACACTGAGTAGCTGAGATGAGAACACGCACAAACATAAACACACAAAAAGATCAGAAAACTTTAAAGAAAAGAGTTCACTGATCTTTGTCAGAAAACAACTACATGATAACAATCCTCTCAGAAGAGGAAAGCTCGCCAATCGAAAATGATAATGGTGTAAATGGTAACCACATACAAACACACACACAACTAGCTACAGAAATTGCATTTAACAGATGAAGGAAGCGCCCACTGGAGCCTTTGACTGCTTTGCATGGTTAACCACGACTGTAAAACTGGGGAAAACGAAACATAACACATAAATATATGTTAATATTTATATAAAAATATATATAAAGATTCTTCATAATACATTCAATTTATTAACATCTTACTGAAAAATTAGAACACTTGAAATTAACAGGCTGGCTTACTTAGAATAGCACCTTCAAACTAGCCAAATAAAAAAAGCAGAAAACAAACTCTTGGAAATACAGTCAAAAACTAACCACGAATAATAAATGAACTACTTACAGACACATGTGTCCACGGCACAAGCATAAGGAAGCAGCGTACTGGTCACATAATCAAGATTTTAAATGACACCTATTTTTCTGAAAAACAGCACAGTTATCTCAGACTGTATGGAAGCATCACACAGACACATTACTTTCCTGTTCAGTAACACCCAATCAAAATCCTAGAATGTTTCAAATGCAGGTTTGACAGGTTTGTGAGTGTACACTTTATCCAAAACCTAGTGAGGGTTTACTCATGTTTACCACCGGGTGGCTGTAGCTCAGGAGGTAGACCAGCTCACTAACTGGTCAGAAGGTTAGTGGTTTGATCCCTGGCTCCTTCAGTCCACATGTCAAGAGTGTGAATGTGTGTGAATGTAGTTAGGAAGCACTCAGTGTAGAGAAAGTGTGTGATTGGGTGAATGTGGTATGTTGTACAGAGCACTTTAAGTAATCCGGGAGAGTAGAAAAATGCTATATAAGAGTCAGTCCATTCACTGTCTGAACATGTGTCATGTTACTTTTGCACTGTTTTGCATATTCTGACACGTGTTGTTATTACATGGCTTGATTAAGGTACACATTATTCTGACATCTGGGGCCAGAGCTGAAACTGGTCAGGGCCAGCACAGTTTGTCTACAACTGGCCCGTGGCTGTGCACAACTTACACATGGCCCACGTATCGCAAACAATGACGGCCCTTTGGTGGTCCAGATCAGGTTTGCCAGAGGTAGTCCACAGATGGGCCAGCACAGGACCACCAGTGTGTCTGCAAATGGCCTTGTGCTGACCCATGTGTGGGCCGTCATTCTTTGCGGTGTATGGGCCAGATCCAGGCCATACCAATTTTGCTATGTGGGTTGGAGGGTCTGTTAGTACAGTAACCTCACAGCAGCTGTGTTATTGATCAGATTATGTCATTAAAAATGCTCCAACAGCCCAGAGGTCGAGTTCAGGTAAAGCCAAACAGACAGCTAGCAGCTACAGCCCCTCCCCAAGGGGACTGACTCACTGCTGGATGCTTTTAGCTAACCACAGATATTGACTATTGACTGACCCACTGGAAAAACTAGTCCATGCATTCATCTTTAGTAGGCTTGATTACTGTAACAGCATCTTTACAGGTCTACCTAAAAAATCAGTCAGACAACTACAGCTCATTCAGAACTCTGCTGCTCGAGTCCTCACTAAGACCAAAAAAGTGGACCACATCAGTCCAGCTCTGAGGTCCTTACACTGGCTGCCTGTCCGTCAGAGGATAGACTTTAAAGTTCTGATGCTGGTCTATAAAGCTCTGAATGGTTTAGGACCAAAATACATCAGTGACCTCCTGACCCAGTATGAACCATCCAGATCCCTCAGGTCATCTGGATCCGGTCTTTTATCAGTTCCCAGAGTCAGAACCAGACACGGAGAAGCTGCATTCAGCTTTTATGCTCCTTATATCTGGAACAAACTCCCAGAAAGCCTCAGATCAGCTGAAACACTCAGTTTATTTAAATCCAGGTTGAAGACTCACCTGTTCTCAGCTGCATTTGAATAAAGCACCAAATCCACACTTTTAAGCTTAAATTTCAAAACTTACATTTAACTACTGATTTTATCTACTGTTCTGATTTTATCTGTTTTGATTTTATATACTGTTTTGTTTGTTTGTTTGTTAATTAGTTAGTTAGTTTATTTGCTTGTTTTAATCAATTTTAAATCATGCTTTTTATTTGTTCTTGTTTCTAATGTCTCTGTAAAGCACTTTGAATCACCTTGTTGTTGAATTGTGCTATACAAATAAATTTGCCTTGCCTTGCCTTGCCTTGCCTTATTACAGACAATGAACAAACCACAGACAGATGAATGCAGATTTTTTGTTTAAACATTGTTTGTTTTCTGTGTTTCAGAGTCTGAGTCACAGCTGGGTGGTAAGAAAAAGCTTCTTTGTGTAATGATTTAGTTTTATGTTTAATAAATCTTTAGTTTCATATGAATATTAGTTTGTGAGTGAACTGTAGACTCCAGGATCACTGTGTCCTCACTCAGCAGTTTGTAGTGCTGAGAGTTTACAGCTCCTACAGTAATGCTCACTCTGTGTTTTAATGTCGGTCTTCAGTTTGTGGTCAGCCAAAGCTCAACACCAGGATTGTAGGAGGACAGGCGGCCCGCGCTGGCAGCTGGCCCTGGCAGGTCAGTCTGCAAAGATTTGGGTCCCACTTCTGTGGAGGATCCCTCATTAACAGTCAGTGGGTGCTGACTGCTGCTCACTGCTTTCAAACGTGAGTGATGAGGCTGAAGCTGCACTCTAAAGATGATTTAAGGAAATTATGGAGGGTCCTAATCTGGGGGAGGGGGGGGTGTAACAGGATCAATATTTACATTTACATATAAAAAAAATTTAAGTGTTTCTTCATTTTCTGTTGAACACATTGAATTTTCATGTAATGAAATGTGGTATATAAATGAAATGATCACTTGCAAATATTTAACAGGGCAGGAAGTCAAACTTTATATATGTTTTCTCGTCTATAACAATTGTAACAACTGTGTACTGTTCGTGTCGCTCCTGATGATCTCAGCAGTACTCCAACCGGTCTGACTGTGAATCTGGGCCGTCAGAGTCTACGGGGATCTAATCCCAATGCAGTGTCTCGGACAGTAACACAGATCATCAAACATCCAAACTACAACTCTGGTACCAACGACAACAACATCTGCCTCCTGAGGCTCTCTTCACCGGTGACTTTCAACAACTACATTTCTCCCGTCTGCCTGGCAGCTTCAGACAGCATCTTCTACAGCGGTGTTAACAGCTGGGTCACCGGCTGGGGCAACATAGGAAGTGGAGGTGGGTCACTGGTTAGAACAGATTAATATTGTCTGAGGATGACAGGAAACAAACAGCTTCTCCAAAGTATCCATAAAGGAGCCTTTGTCTGCTTATTTTATGATTCTGTTGCTGAAGAGAAGCCTAAATATTTCAGAAACTATGATTTATGAATTTATAGAAAAGACACCAAGTTTCTGAGCCAACCTCAAAGGAAATGTTTGTAAAAAAGAAACTGGCCTCATGCAGTTTCGTTTTTGATGATAAACCTGTGCGCGTGGAGGGGAAACAGACTTTATAAACACTAAAAGAAACATGGACTGAAATATTTGGGAAATGTCTGAAGCATCAAAGATAGAGATACGAACCAAATGTCAAAAACACTTTAAAAACTGATTGTGCATATTTTTTTACTTTTAATCAGATTTGTCTGGTGGTTCAATATATACAGCTTTCTGTCATGTGACCACTGAAAGTGGGAAATCCTTTGAGTTAAAACTTATTCACCACCAGAATAAATGCCTGGAAGTGGAACGATGCTTTGTTTACTGTTCAGGTTTGTATCTTTAATCTGTCACACGCTGTTTATTAAACAGATTTTTTTTTTACCCCTTCAGTGCCCCTTCCCCCTCCACAAAACCTGATGGAGGTGGAGGTTCCTGTTGTGGGAAACAGGCAGTGCAACTGTAACTATGGAGTGGGAAGAATCACTGACAACATGATCTGTGCCGGGTTAAGTGCAGGAGGAAAGGACTCCTGTCAGGTGATTGTTGTTACCTGTGTTTGGCACATTTTCACCTTTTACAGATTATTCTTCTTAGTTTTTCAGGTGCACACAGATGCAGTCAGTTCTATTTAACATACCTGATCTGCTAAGAGAGACCATATTGAGCTGTGTGTAATTTACTAATAGAACAGATGCAGTTTTTTTTAACTATAACCAGGAAATCATATATGTGGCTCAGTCATGGGGAATGAGACAGGACACAGGAAAGATTCTTGGGTTTTTTATTTTCTGATTGCATTCAGAAAAGCTTAAATTTAACAATAAATCGGGAGAGATCCCACGTTGGGGTCCCATGTTTAACAGAATATAAAGTATACCATATTTTAACAAATTCAAAGGTAGGTTTTGAATTGTCACTAACCCAAAACCAGTGGAAGCAACTGTCAGGACACTTAACCACTGCAGGCATGCACTCACTTAACTTGGCTCACAAAGAACACTGACGTGGAGTCTCACGCAACGATCCCACGCCGAGGAGTGCTCAGCCACACTCTTGAGTAGCTCCCTGATGAGGCTTCGTTAGCTGCAGGTGGGGCCAGCCTCCAGATGGGACACACCCACCAAGCCTACCTGAAACCCTGTGCTCAGCCACACTCACAGACACACCCACTTGCCTATACATACAAGCATGGAGAGCACAAGAACAGCACAGTCCAGCAAACATACATCATATATTATATTGGTCCATAACTGCTCATGGACCCTGGGTCTCTCAGATCCAGGTCACTGACACAAGCTATGCGTTAGGACAAATACACACACACAGGAATCATACAGCAAGCTAGCTCTCACAGTACATGACCATTAAACACACGCACGTGACACATTTCAGAATCTCTGTGGAATGCCTCCCACTCACAGCTCACTGTCTGTGCTCTAGTTTAAGGCAGCTCTTGAAGGGGCAGTATAGAACCAAAAACCCTGATCTAGTCACCACCATGACAGCTCTACAAAAAGACCTCTGAGTCGTACCTCTGGTTATATTCAGGAAAGGTTTCCAAATTCAACATGTGAAGCACAAAAAATAACAAATGTATTTTCGTTGGGAAAGGAACTCACAGAAATGCATAAGCAGTTCATTCCTCTTACATGCCATCTTCTCACTGCACCCCCTTAATAAACCCTGATGGTTCTGTCTAACAGTAAATGTTTCTGCTCTCAAAGGGGGATTCAGGAGGTCCAATGGTGAGCAAGCAGATTGGTCGCTGGATTCAGGCAGGAATCGTCAGTTTTAGGGAAGGTTGTGCCAGGCCGAATCTTCCAGGAGTCTACACCAGAGTATCCAAGTACCAGACCTGGATCACGAGCCAGATCTCCTCCAACCGGCCGGGCTTCATGACGTTCAAGTCTACTGGGACCAACAGTGATCTCAGTGTTACCTGCACAGGACTGCTACCAGTGCCAACCACCACCAATATCACCACCACCACACTTTCAACAACCACTAACCATCCAACAAACACCACAAGACCTGCAAACACCACACTTCCAACAACCACTAACCATCCAACAAACACCACAAGACCTGCAAACACCACACTTCCAACAACTATCAACCGTCCAACAAATACAACCACAACTACGAACACCACACTTATAACAAACACTACAAGATCTACAAACACCACATTTCCAACAAACACCACACTTTCAACAACCACCAACCGTCCAACAAACAGCACAAGACCTACAAACACTACACTTCCAACAACTATCAACCGTCCAACAAACACCACTAGCTCTACAAACACCACACTTTCAACAAACACCACACTTCCAACAGCCACCGACCGTCCAACAAACACCACAAGACCTACAAACACTACACTTCCAACAACTATGAACCGTCCAACAAATACAACCACAACTACAAACACCACACTTCCAACAACCACCAACCGTCCAACAAACACTACACTTCCAACAACCACCAACCGTGCAACAAACAGCACAAGACCTACAAATGCCACACTTTCAACAACCACCAACCGTCCAACAAACACCACCACACCTACAAACACCACACTTTCAACAACCACCAACCGTCCAACAAACACCACAAGACCTGCAAACACGACACTTCCAACAACTATCAACCGTCCAACAAATACAACCACAACTACAAACACCACACTTCCAACAGCCACCAACCGTCCAACAAACACCACAAGACCTACAAACACCACACTTCCAACAACTATCAACCGTCCAACAAACAGCACAAGACCTACAAACACTACACTTCCAACAACTATCAACCATCCAACAAACACCACTAGCTCTACAAACACCACATTTCCAACAAACACTACACTTCCAACAACTATCAACCGTCCAACAAACACCACACTTTCAACAAACACCACACTTTCAACAACCACCAACCGTCCAACAAACACCACAAGACCTACAAACACCACACTTTCAACAAACACCACACTTTCAACAACCACCAACCGTCCAACAAACACCACAAGACCTACAAACATGACACTTCCAACAACTATCAACCGTCCAACAAATACAACCACAACTACAAACACCACACTTCCAACAGCCACCGACCGTCCAATAAACACCACAAGACCTACAAACACTACACTTCCAACAACTATGAACCGTCCAACAAATACAACCACAACTACAAACACCACACTTCCAACAACCACCAACCGTCCAACAAACACTACACTTCCAACAACCACCAACCGTGCAACAAACAGCACAAGACCTACAAACACTACACTTCCAACAACTATCAACCGTCCAACAAACAGCACAAGACCTACAAACACTACACTTTCAACAAACACCACACTTTCAACAACCACCGACCGTCCAACAAACACCACAAGATCTACAAACACTACACTTCCAACAACTATCAACCGTCCAACAAATACAACCACAACTACAAACACCACACTTCCAACAGCCACCGACCGTCCAACAAACACCACAAGACCTACAAACACTACACTTCCAACAACTATGAACCGTCCAACAAATACAACCACAACTACAAACACCACACTTCCAACAACCACCAACCGTCCAACAAACACTACACTTCCAACAACCACCAACCGTGCAACAAACAGCACAAGACCTACAAATGCCACACTTTCAACAACCACCAACCGTCCAACAAACACCACCACACCTACAAACACCACACTTTCAACAACCACCAACCGTCCAACAAACACCACAAGACCTGCAAACACGACACTTCCAACAACTATCAACCGTCCAACAAATACAACCACAACTACAAACACCACACTTTCAACAGCCACCAACCGTCCAACAAACACCACAAGACCTACAAACACCACACTTCCAACAACTATCAACCGTCCAACAAATACAACCACAACTACAAACACTACACTTTCAACAAACACCAACCATCCAACAAACACCACAAGACCTACAAACACCACACTTCCAACAACCACCAACCGTCTAACAGACAACACCACACCTACAACCACCAACCGTCCAACAAACACCACCACACCTACAAACACCACACTTTCAACAAACACTACACTTCAGACAACCACCAACCGTCAAACAAACACCACAAGATCTACAAACACTACACTTCCAACAACTATCAACCGTCCAACAAACACCACTAGCTCTACAAACACCACACTTTCAACAAACACCACACTTTCAGCAACCACCGACCGTCCAACAAACACTACAAGATCTACAAACACGACACTTCCAACAACTATCAACCGTCCAACAAATACAACCACAACTACAAACACCACACTTCCAACAGCCACCGACCGTCCAACAAACACCACAAGACCTACAAACACTACACTTCCAACAACTATGAACCGTCCAACAAATACAACCACAACTACAAACACCACACTTCCAACAACCACCAACCGTCCAACAAACACTACACTTCCAACAACCACCAACCGTGCAACAAACAGCACAAGACCTACAAATGCCACACTTTCAACAACCACCAACCGTCCAACAAACACCACCACATCTACAAACACCACACTTTCAACAACCACCAACCGTCCAACAAACACCACAAGACCTGCAAACACGACACTTCCAACAACTATCAACCGTCCAACAAATACAACCACAACTACAAACACCACACTTCCAACAACCACCAACCGTCTAACAAACACCACCACACCTACAACCACCAACCGTCCAACAAACACTACACTTCCAACAACTATTAACCGTCCAACAAATACAACCACAACTACAAACACCACACTTCCAACAACCACCAACCATCCCACAAATACCACAAGACCTACAAACACCACACTTCCAACAACTATTAACCGTCCAACAAATACAACCACAACTACAAACACTACACTTTCAACAACCACCAACCATCCAACAAACACCACAAGACCTACAAACACCACACTTCCAACAACCACCAACCGTCCAACAAACACTACACTTCCAACAACCACCAACCGTCCAACAAACACCACCACACCTACAAACACCACACTTTCAACAAACACTACACTTCAGACAACCACCAACCATTCAACAAACACCACAAGACCTACAAACACGACACTTCCAACAGCTATCAACCGTCCAACAAATACAGCCACAACTACAAACACCACACTTCCAACAGCCACCAACCGTCCCACAAACACCACAAGACCTACAAACACCACACTTCCAACAACTATGAACCGTCCAACAAATACAACCACAACTACAAACACTGCACTTCCAACAACCACCAACCGTCCAACAAACAGCACAAGACCTACAAACACCACACTTTCAACAAACACTACACTTCAGACAACCACCAACCGTCCAACAAACAGCACAAGACCTACAAACACCACACTTCCAACAACTATCAACCGTCCAACAAATACAACCACAACTACAAACACCACACTTCCAACAGCCACCAACCGTCCAACAAACAGCACAAGACCTACAAACACTACACTTCCAACAACTATCAACCATCCAACAAACACCACTAGCTCTACAAACACCACATTTCCAACAAACACTACACTTCCAACAACTATCAACCGTCCAACAAACACCACACTTTCAACAAACACCACACTTTCAACAAACACCAACCGTCCAACAAACACCACAAGATCTACAAACACTACACTTCCAACAACTATCAACCGTCCAACAAACACCACTAGCTCTACAAACACCACACTTTCAACAAACACCACACTTTCAACAACCACCAACCGTCCAACAAACACCACAAGACCTACAAACATGACACTTCCAACAACTATCAACCGTCCAACAAATACAACCACAACTACAAACACCACACTTATAACAAACACTACAAGATCTACAAACACCACATTTCCAACAAACACCACACTTTCAACAACCACCAACCGTCCAACAAACAGCACAAGACCTACAAACACTACACTTCCAACAACTATCAACCATCCAACAAACACCACTAGCTCTACAAACACCACATTTCCAACAAACACTACACTTCCAACAACTATCAACCGTCCAACAAACACCACTAGCTCTACAAACACCACACTTTCAACAAACACCACACTTTCAGCAACCACCGACCATCCAACAAACACCACAAGATCTACAAACACGACACTTCCAACAACTATCAACCGTCCAACAAATACAACCACAACTACAAACACCACACTTCCAACAACCACCAACCGTCCAACAAACACTACACTTCCAACAACCACCAACCGTGCAACAAACAGCACAAGACCTACAAATGCCACACTTTCAACAGCCACCAACCGTCCGACAAACACCACCACACCTACAAACACCACACTTTCAACAACCACCAACCGTCCAACAAACACCACAAGACCTGCAAACACGACACTTCCAACAACTATCAACCGTCCAACAAATACAACCACAACTACAAACACTACACTTTCAACAACCACCAACCATCCAACAAACACCACAAGACCTACAAACACCACACTTCCAACAACCACCAACCGTCCAACAAACACTACACTTCCAACAACCACCAACCGTCCAACAAACACCACCACACCTACAAACACCACACTTTCAACAAACACTACACTTCAGACAACCACCAACCATTCAACAAACACCACAAGACCTACAAACACGACACTTCCAACAACTATCAACCGTCCAACAAATACAACCACAACTACAAACACCACACTTCCAACAGCCACCAACCGTCCCACAAACACCACAAGACCTACAAACACCACACTTCCAACAACTATGAACCATCCAACAAATACAACCACAACTACAAACACTACACTTCCAACAACCACCAACCGTCCAACAAACAGCACAAGACCTACAAACACCACACTTTCAACAAACACTACACTTCAGACAACCACCAACCGTCCAACAAACACCACAAGACCTACAAACACCACACTTCCAACAACTATCAACCGTCCAACAAATACAACCACAACTACAAACACCACACTTCCAACAGCCACCAACCGTCCAACAAACACCACAAGACCTACAAACATGACACTTCCAACAACTATCAACCGTCCAACAAATACAACCACAACTACGAACACCACGCTTATAACAAACACTACAAGATCTACAAACACCACATTTCCAACAAACACCACACTTCCAACAACCACCAACCGTCCAACAAACACTACACTTCCAACAACCACCAACCGTCCAACAAACACCACCACACCTACAAACACCACACTTTCAACAAACACTACACTTCAGACAACCACCAACCATTCAACAAACACCACAAGACCTACAAACACGACACTTCCAACAACTATCAACCGTCCAACAAATACAACCACAACTACAAACACCACACTTCCAACAACCACCAACCGTCCAACAAACACTACACTTCCAACAACCACCAACCGTCCAACAAACACCACCACACCTACAAACACCACACTTTCAACAAACACTACACTTCAGACAACCACCAACCATTCAACAAACACCACAAGACCTACAAACACGACACTTCCAACAACTATCAACCGTCCAACAAATACAACCACAACTACAAACACCACACTTCCAACAGCCACCAACCGTCCCACAAACACCACAAGACCTACAAACACCACACTTCCAACAACTATGAACCATCCAACAAATACAACCACAACTACAAACACTACACTTCCAACAACCACCAACCGTCCAACAAACAGCACAAGACCTACAAACACCACACTTTCAACAAACACTACACTTCAGACAACCACCAACCGTCCAACAAACACCACAAGACCTACAAACACCACACTTCCAACAACTATCAACCGTCCAACAAATACAACCACAACTACAAACACCACACTTCCAACAGCCACCAACCGTCCAACAAACACCACAAGACCTACAAACATGACACTTCCAACAACTATCAACCGTCCAACAAATACAACCACAACTACGAACACCACGCTTATAACAAACACTACAAGATCTACAAACACCACATTTCCAACAAACACCACACTTTCAACAACCACCAACCGTCCAACAAACAGCACAAGACCAACAAACACTACACTTCCAACAACTATCAACCGTCCAACAAACACCACACTTTCAACAAACACCACACTTTCAACAAACACCACACTTTCAACAACCACCAACCGTCCAACAAACACCACAAGATCTACAAACACGACACTTCCAACAACTATCAACCGTCCATCAAATACAACCACAACTACAAACAACACACTTCCAACAAACACTACAATTTAAACAACCATCAACCGTCCAACACTGTGAACACCCGGCTTATACTGACGTGCGGCTAATGCATATTTTTTTTCATGCGTTCAAAAACATTTTGCCTGGTAACAGTAGACCAATGAAATTGATAAGTAGTATATATACGGTATATATTTTTACCGGTTGTTAAGAGACGTTGTAATGTTGTTTGTGTACTGTTCCGTAAAAAAACCCATAAGCAATGTAATTTGTGTGTTACTGATACCTACGTATACTTATAGGTAGTCGTGTTATAGGCACTGTTCGAGGAAAAAAAGCATTTGCAGTATGTATTTTTGTATGTTACCATAACGTTTATGTTACCATGTTTATGTTACCTTACGGATTAAGATCTGGTGCGGCCTGTAGAAGTACAAAATTGATTTTCTTTCTAAAATTAGAGCATGCGGCTTTTAATCAGGTGCGCTCTGTAGTCCGGGAGTTACGGTACAAGTTCGTAATATAGTGCAAAAAAGGTTAAGATTATAAGTGATGTTTAAGTTAAAAAGTAATAGGTCAAAGGTCAGATTAAAAACAGGTTAAATAGAGATTTACTAAGAACAAGGAAATGATGTATATAAAGATCAAACAAGGAAATAAATCAAGAGCGTGAGTAATGAGAAATTCAAACAGCTTAACCTCCTAAGACGCAAACTCTTCCACAGCATGTATTTTTAATTTCTCTTTGATATTCGGGGATATTGGAGCCTGATGAATGTAAAAACAAAGAACTACCAGATGTTTTTACCTGATCTTTGTTTCTAAGAAAAATGAGAGCCACATATGAGGATATTAACATTTCGATAGAACAGCAGCAGTATAATGTCCTCATAAGCGATTAACAGGCCCTTGTAAATTGAGTATTTTGGTCTAAATAAACTAAAATATGATGTCCACATATGTGCACGCCAGGTCCTAGGAGGTTAAAGTAAAAGGCTAAGTTTTAAAAATAAAATATGGATTAAATAACATGATGGTGAATAATCATTGTCATTGTCACTGTAAGAAGGAGGGAATTCTCCTTTAATAAACACTAGTGGTTCTCAACAGTAAAGAAATAAACACATGATAACCACATAAATAACTACAATCACACGATCAAGGTTTGTTACGGAAGCCAGAGAGTGAAAAACAATTTCTTGAGTAATTGTTTCTGAAGTTAAATTCTAAATTGAACTTCATTTTTGTTTGATAAATGATTAAATGTTTCTGGAAAATTACACTCTAAACTGACCTTTTTTTTAATCTGATATTTTAGAAGATAAATATTAAACTGACTCTTATTTTTGTTTGGTAAAAAGTTAACAACTATAGAGTTAACTGCTAATTGGGTTTTGTATTCTGTTTTCTTTAAGTTGATTTCTGATATCAGGAAAAAGCTATAGAATTAACTGGTGTGTTTTCTTTATATATATATATATATATATATATATATATATATATATATATATATATTTGTTTCTGCATTCTGATTTTGAGCTATTTAAATAAAGTTGAATTGAATTGAATTGAATTGAATTGATTTGAATTGAATTGAATTGAATTAACTGATTTTTTTATTAGTTCTTAATCAGTTGATTTCGGGATTCATTTCTGTTATTGATTGATGACAAGTTAACATTCCCCGACCCTAAGGCGCAGGGAACAAACCCTCTCATCCATCGGGAAAAACCCCAACGTACCGGCAGCAAGCCGAGGGGATATTGGAATACCCACCCCAGCCCGCCGCCTCTCACCAGGGGCAACTCCAGACTGAGACAGAGTCCAGCCCCTCTCCAGAAGACTGGTTCCAGAGCCCAAGCCATGCGTAGAGGTGAGCCCGACTATATCTAGCCGGTACCTCTCAACCTCACGCACTAACTCAGGCTCCTTCCCCACCAGACAGGTGACATTCCATGTCCCTGTTGCCAGTCTTGGCAGCCGGGGGTCAGTCCGCCAGGGCCTCCGCTCCTGGCCGCCACCCGGCACACAATGCACCCGACCCCTATGGCGCCTCCTGCGGGTGGTGGGCCTGCGGGAGGATGGGCCCATGTCTCCTCTTCGGGCTGTGCCCGATCGGGCCCCAGACGCATGCCTGGAACACCTCACCCAGGAGGCGCCCAGGGGGCATCCTGGTCAGATGCCCGAACCACCTCAGCTCGGTCCTTTCGATGTGGAGCAGCAGCGGCTCTACTCTGAGCCCCTCCCGGATGGCCGAACTTCTCACCCTATCTCTAAGGGAGAGGCCAGCCACCCTTCGGAGGAAGCTCATTTCTGCCACTTGTATCCGCGATCTCGTTCTTTCGGTCACTACCCACAGCTCGTGGCCATAGGTGAGGGTAGGGACGTAGATCGACCGGTAAATTGAGAGCTTCGCTTTTACACTCAGCTCCCTCTTCACCACGACGGACCGGTGCAGCGTCCGCATCACTGCAGCTGCAGCACCAATCCGTCTGTCGATCTCCGGCTCCTTTCTCCCATCACTCGCGAACAAGACCCCGAGATACTTGGAGGCTCCCACCCGATGAAGCCAACAGAACCACATATTCCGCAAAATTCAGAGATGAGATTCTGAGGCCACCAAAGCGAAAGCCCTCTGCCACTTGGCTGCGCCTAGAAATCCTGTCAATAAAAATTATGAACAGAACAAAGGGCAGCCTTATTGCCGGCAATGCGAACCAAGCTCTTGCAACGGTTGTATAGGGATCGAATAGCCCGTAGCAATGGGCCAGACACCCCATACTCCCGCAGCACCTCCCACAGGACACCCCGAGGGACACGGTCGAATGCCTTCTCCAAAAAAGAAAAGTAAAGTGTATGTGTTAGTCCCCATAGGGAAATAGTTCCTCTGCATTTAACCCATTCACCCAGTGAAGCAGTGGGCAGCCACCAATGCAGCGCCCGGGGAGCAGTGTGTAGGGACGGTACCTTGCTCAGGAGTACCTCAGGGTAGCCGTTCAGTGGAGTCGAACCCCCGACCTTCTGATCATGGGGCCACCACTCTACCTACTGAACTATCCCTGCCCCATAAGTCCACAAAACACATGTAGACTGGTTGGGCAAACTCCCATGCACCCTCAAGTATAAAGGATAAAGAGCTGGTCCAGTGTTCCGCAACCAGGACGAAAACCGCATTGTTCCTCCTGCATCCGAGGTTCAACTAGCGGACAAACTCTCCTTTCCAGCACCCTGGCATAGACTTTCCCAGGGGGGCTGAGGAGTGTGATTCCCCTGTAGTTGGAACACACCCTCCGGTCCCCCTTCTTAAAGATGGGGACCACCACCCCGGTCTGCCAGTCCACGGGTACTGCCCCTGATCTCCACGCAACATTGCAGAGGCGTTTCAACCAGGACAGCCCAACAACGTCCAGAGCCTTCAGGAACTCGGGGCGGACCTCATCAACACCAGGGGCTCTGCCACCAAGGTGTTGTTTAACTGCCTCAGCGACCTCGCCCCCGGAAATTGGCGGGTCATTCCCCTCATCCCCAGACTCTGCTTCCTCCTCGGAAGACGTGTCAGTGGGATTAAGGAGGTCCTCGAAGTATTCCTTCCACCGCCTGACAATTTTCTCAGTCGACGTCAGCAGCGCTCCGCCAGCACTATACACAGTGCAGGTAGAGCACCGCTTTCCCCTCCCGAGACGCATGTCCCACCGGGAGGAGGCCCCGGGGCAGACCCAGGACACGCTGGAGAGATTATATCTCTCGGCTGGCCTGGGAACGCCTTGGTGTTCCCCCGGATAAGCCGGAGGAGGTGGCTGGGGAGAGGGAGGTCTGGGCCTCTTTGCTTAGGCTGCTGCCCCCGCGACCCGGCCTCGGATAAAGCGGATGAAGATGGATGGATGGATGGATTTTCTTTGATTGATTTTTATCCATCCATTCGTTTACGCTTATACTTTTCAGGGTCGCGGGGATGCTGGAGCCTATCCCAGCTTTCATAGGGTGAGAGGCGGGGTACACCCTGGACAGGTCGCCAGTCTGCCACAGGGCTAACACACAGAGACAGACAACCATTCGCACTCATATTCACTCCCGCATTCACACTTATGGGCAATTTGAATTAATCAATTAACCTATCCCCACAAACAGCATCTCTTTGGACTGTGGGAGGAAGCCGGAGTACTCGGAAGGAACCCACGCAAACACGGGGAGAACTCCACACAGAAAGACCCCGGCCTGATGGTGGAATTGAACTCAGGACAGTGCAGCAATGGTGCTAACCACTGTGCTGCCCCTGTTTGTATCTGTTTAATATATAAATAATTGCGTGAGTCAATTGCTAAATTCATTTTCATTTTTTTTCTTTGATTCTGACATAATTCCTGTTGAGTTGATTGTTAAATTGAATCTTAGTTTTTTGTTTCATTAATTTCTTATCGAGTATTGATACAGATTCTTTTTGGGTTAATTTCTAAATTCATTTTTGACATTGTTGCTTTGATCTTTTATTAGTTTATTACAGTGTGTTTGTTATTATTTACCAACTGGGCTGGACTGTGATTGCTTTAACTCTTTCACATATAGTGGTCACTACAGTTACAGCTATTCAAAGGCTGTTTTCTTGTATTTGTGTCAGTGTTGATGGTATACTTGCAGATAAACCACTACATTGGACACTGATGTGTCACTCCATACCCTGCCACCCACTGGTCAGCCAGTGGACATGTGTAAGTGTAAAAATCTCTTTGCAAAGTATATACAGGGAGTGCAGAATTATTAGGAAAGTTGTATTTTTGAGGAATAATTTTATTATTGAACAACAACCATGTTCTCAATGAACCCAAAAAACTCATTAATATCAAAGCTGAATGTTTTTGGAAGTAGTTTTTAGTTTGTTTTTAGTTTGAGCTATTTTAGGGGGATATCTGTGTGTGCAGGTGACTATTACTGTGCATAATTATTAGGCAACTTAACAAAAAACAAATATATACCCATTTCAATTATTTATTTTTACCAGTGAAACCAATATAACATCTCCACATTCACAAATATACATTTCTGACATTCAAAAACAAAACAACAACAAATCAGCGACCAATATAGCCACCTTTCTTTGCAAGGACACTCA